TTACTCCAGTCCGAGTTAAAGTACACACAGCAGCCATCTTTCATACATCTGTGGAATACGAATTAGTCAACCAAGTACCTGAAGTAGTGCAACAGGGTCATCAGCTACCTGACAGACTCTGACAGTTGACTGATGCACGAGAAGGGAAAGAAACTGAAGCCTATACCGAGGAACCCATAATTGTGGTTCAGAAGGTAACTTATGGACGGAATACACCGATTCTCACCCTTGGAGAACCTCTTACATTTTCCAAGGCGAAGGTCATGTGGGATGCGCGTAGACGGATTGCTGAGTTTTGTCAGCAACAGTGTCCGGACTCACTTGCAGTCTTCTTGGCGCGGGCTTGCCATGAGAGCAAAGCGAGCGAACAAAGAGAGAAGGCTGTAGGAGCTGAACAAGTTGACCTAACTTTAAATTAATCCATACATTGATTTCCATGGGGCTCGATATACGAAGGGGAATCTAACGCAAAGCCAGGCCCTAGACCAAAGAAGGAGATATAAGTTTTGGGCCGGAGAAATTGTCGACGCCTCTGCTTAGTTCTTTAATACGCAATTAACGTTAATTGACCAAAAAAACGAAAGCAACAAAGTCTTTACAAACCGTCAAACCGTCGGTAAGAGAGAAATATTACCATCCTTCCTGAAATTGAGGTATACATGGTTGCCACTCGCTTTCTTTAGGTAGACGTCTTGACTTGTTAAGTGGTCTAAGCTATGATAATTTAGACAGCGTGTTCACCACATAAATTTCCTCGGACTGCTATGATTCAGACGACGATGCTCGGCTATTCATCCCAAAATGATGCTCTTGAATGAATGCTCACGTTATTTGCTTGGTGGAAAGTGTGGGAGGAATAACACCAACGAAAAAGAAACCTTAGTAACTTTAAACGAAAACAATGAGAATTTACAACTACTGATAGCATCTAAAGTTAAATTATGATAACATAGGGTTATACAGGCAAGATTTTGGACGAAATGCGCAATTTAGAAATGTAAACGTGGGCATACGAGGTTATTCGGGATTGATTATGTTTGTACGCTGTTCGCAGGCAGGATGAATACTGACGTTAGAGCGGCATTGGGGCCGGGAATTCTAGTGTATAGAATATGGTCCGGGAGTTGATTTCAGGCGGTGGTATTACTTAAGTCTAACCAAGCAATCTTTTCAGTTGGTCTTCGGTCCAGTAATTACATTACTGGTAGGCAGGAGTAGGAGATTTAAATGAACACGAAGTTGGACAAAAACAGGGAAAAAACGGACCTCTCGACCTCGTGGCCAAATTGAAACCTTTTCTTTGTTCACTGCCAAAATCCACTCTTCTTCGACTTCAGCAGACTAAAAGGAACATAGTAAATCCAGTTATTACTCTTGATAAGGTGCCACATGCGATATTTTCCTGAAATTGCCATAAACACTATCTAAAGAAGCCACCAACATGAACAAGCCGTTTGCTGCTTCGCGTCGGACGCTAAATTCAGTTATTATGTTCACGAAAAAGAACCCGGGAGAAATTAATCCTAAAGTAGCAGAGATGTGGGAATGATAATGTTATTCGGAAGACTAAAAAAAGGCATTCTGCAGCAACAAAATTATCCATAAGAGAATTGCTCAAGCTAACTAATTAGCTTACTTGATGACTTCCGAATGCCTAACAAGGACAGCCTGAGTGAGGGGGTCCCTTATTGACTGGGTTCATTATTTTCAGCAGTTTTCAAACATGCCTTTTCAACTTTCTAATGGAACTCAGACACTGTTGGTTTTATTGTAGCAAAACTGTCATTCATAAAAGTATTAAAACTATGTAATAGCCCTACAACTCAGAGGGTCAACTTTTTGAAGTGAGCATATCAGATACTAACGGAAGCATTATTGGAAGCAATGACTTTATTGAAACGTAACTTAAAGTGAAAATCACATACTGCACATAGTCACACTCTACAGAAACGTTGTTAAAAAATACGATCGTTTTACTACGCCGAAAGACCAAATAATATGCTAAAGCAGAGTATTATGAATATGCAGTTTGCAGGAAATACTGCCTCGCTAAACGTGTACCCCTTTCGGTCATGCCCAAAGCTCTTTTTAGAAACTCTTTTAAGGCTGGCAAGCTTAATCGAATAAAATAGAGAAGTTCGATAGCGACGGCTCCATCCACTTTAGCCCGATACGGCCTGAAACTTGAAGCCGGGTTCAGCTGGGCTACCGCTAATAATCTATCACTGCCTCCTTTCTCTTAACTCACTCGCTTTCCACTGCTCTACTGTAAACGTTAGGCGACGGCTACTCGGAAATTCGTGTTTGACTAGACCGGCTTGTGTAGAATCAGACATGCAGGACAAGTTTTACGCAAACCTGGACATCGAAGAATGCGCATCCAAAAGTCGACACCTTCGCAAGACTCTTGAGAAAGGCAAGAGGCGCGTCAGAAGGAGACAACTGGGGTCCCTGGTTGGCTACATTTGCGAGTCTCTGAAAAAGAACACAATAGGGTGACTTGACAAGACTAGGCAAGACGTCTGGTTATCAGTAAAAAGCAAAAGGCATAAAGAAAAGACAGGAAACTTTTTGTTGAGTTTGGACGACTGAACTCCGGTCTATGATGACTATCACTCGATGTGACGTTTATGGAATCCTCGTATATGTGAGATCCCATAAATCTTGTAGTCCAATACAGGAGAATATCCGAGTTCCAGGAAGCAGTTCGGAAGAAGAAGA